TTTCCTTAGCTATGCACATAGCTAGGTTGCTGTAGAGCGGGTGTCCCCTACCCACTATTTTCGTTGTACTTATGTGATATGCAGCTCTGTGTGTAAGGTGTGTGTAAAAATGTCACATGGACTGGCGGATTTGTAGTAAGAGCATGTGGCTAAAATGTGGGAGCAGTTATCTGTGATGTGGTAGTATCAGCTGGGCACTTATCAGTCCTCTGTTGCACCAGATCAGCTTTGTTAGCCCCACCAACCAGGATGCTCTGACTGCCTGTAGCATGTGTCTGTAACAGTGTGTGATAGTAAAACTAGATACCCATTATCACATCTGCTATATACCTAGCTGTGTAACATTGTCCACATGAAATAAGCCAGTATTTATAATTTGCCTCCTTTGTATGCGTGGAAGGCAAAAACCATAAACCTGATGACAATTAGTGCAAAATATTGGCAGCATCAGTGACATTCTTTCTGGTCCACTTCTCTCTAAAGCCATCATTGCAAGCAAATTGCTACAAGACAGTGCTTTTTATGCAAAACAAGAATTCAAACTAGGAGATTAGTGAGCTTATCCAGCTGTCTCAGGAGCAAAATCTTATCTGATATTTTCACATCCTGGGATAGCAAGCTCTACAGATGCTTCATTCTACTCTCTCTTTAAAACCCTGCCGAATTAGTCCTAGTATCAATACACACTATTGGCATCATTGGCCTGTGGATCCAAGGCAGAACCCCAGGAAAGGAACGTATTGGAACCCTCAACAGCTGTACCATCCGGGAAATGGACTTGTGAGTGTCTTGGAAATTGTTCATATAAAGCTTCGACAAAGGCTTCAGCTAAGGGTGCTATATCCTCATATAAGTATTCAGGGGGTTTTTTCATCTGGTTGGTGCTATTTTCAATACTGACTCTATAAAAGGGAGTGTCTTGGGTATGTTTCACTACTACGAGAAGCGGAGAGTAATAAAGTTATATTCTCCCAAAGGAATTTTAGTCTTTGTAGTAGCAACAATAACCCCAGGATGTGTGACGTTTAACTCTTTGGACGCCATGGGTATCTCCTTAAATAAGCAGAATAACATATCAACGCCTAGTATTATTAATTCTTATGGACTTATGGAGGATCTGGGCATAATTATATATGCCAGTGGCTTGCTAAGTGTAGGGAATTGAACACACTTTCTGAACTATCTCCACCCGCAGTGCTATAATATCGAGTGGGGTACCCTGGGAAAGTCAGAGCTACAATACGCTATGAGCCACGCCCTCAAATGTACGTAACTTGAGTACAGTTTGAGGTGTTTTCAATTGTGTGATAGGTTTACCAGCTACAGTAGGCAGAGCTGCCCTCTGGAATACCAACGGCCTGACCCTAGACAACCAGACTGGTCACTTCACAGAAATTCTGTTAGTTAGCTAAAACTATTGTGGTTCCTCAAAAGTACCGTAGGTTGTGATTGCTGTACAGAACAATTGGGTAACGCTATAGATTAACAGAGAAATCAGTAGGACTTGCAAAGTATTTTCAGGCTGACCTATAGAGTTGTAGCCTATCTAGCTAGATTCATACTGAATATGTTTCCAATGCTGGTATATATATACCTAGGTGAATGCAATGTCAACCATGCTACCACCAGGGCCTTGTGCATTGTACCCTAAGAAAGCCACTGATATGATTGTGACAGCTAGTGTTTTTGTTGTCAAATTTTTTCAGGCAGACATTTTACTATGGAATGCTAACCAGGCAGTATAATATATACACTGGTTGTATATTATGCAACCAGTGTGGAGTTGGCATTGTGTGTTCAAGTATAATTATACTTCTACTCAGGAGAGTGCCACTGTCTGTGCTTTAGTGGCACCCATTGTTCTTTCTAGGGTTATGCTCAGCATGCATCTCTGTGAGATGGACTATTAACCCTGTGGGTCACTATGACATGTGCAAGCTGCTTGTGCAGTATACAGTGGAACCTCCGAACAAGGGACACTATGGGGCCAACAATTTAGTCATTTGTAGAGAGGTCAGCCCTATCTCGGAGGTCAAATAATAGACTAATGCATTAGCATAGGGTTGATACAAGTGTCCTTTGTAGAGAGGTCAGCCCTATCTCGGAGGTCAAATAATAGACTAAAGTATCAGCATAGGGTTGAAACAAGTGGCCTTTGTAGAGAGGTTGTCCCTATCTCGGAGGTCAAATAATAGACTAAAGTATCAGCATAGGGTTGACACAAGTTTCCTTTGTAGAGAGGTCGTCCCTATCTTGAGGTCAAATAATACACTAAAGTATCAGCATGGGGGTGAAACAAGTATCCGTTGTAGAGAGGTCGTCCCTATCTCGGAGGGTCCCTTATCGGAGGTTCCACTGTACTGAGCTTGAAGTTTATGTGAGTTGATGCATCAGCAGTTGAAACACAGCCCACCTAGGTAAACTTCTTGGCTTCTCAGATGAACCCTGAGAAGGAACTCCCGCTATTTCCTCAATGCTAGAGACATTATATCAATAAATGGAGAAATCTTACCCCTGTGTATTGTCCTCTAGCTAGTACAAAGAATTAGCTATGAGACAGATCTTTAGGCTCTTGTAAAGGTCACACACAAAAATATCATGATCGATAAAAATAAAAAATAAAGTGAATTTTAACACCTTGTGATGGTATTGTTTCTAAAACGTAGGTATGTAGGTGCGTGTATATGTTTACGTACGTGGTGTTAAACACACTGTACTCGATCGTAAACACCGGAAGTTGGGTGTATTATGCAAACTTGTGACGTCGTGTTTCCGTATTCACGTGTGTGTGTTCAGAGTTGATAAACATTTAGCCTCGTTTTCGACTGCAAGTTGCCTTTCAACACCAAACAAAACGTGTTGCTTAAAAAAAGTGTTTCACTTCACACTTTGTCGATTTCGCCTCACAAAAATACACTGAATCACGTGTATACAAAGCACCATTATTGGCGAGTGAAGTGAGCCCACCACCTACTCTTCTGAATTAGGATTATTCTTTGTACGTAGGTAGACAGTGATTAGACAGTACTTCAGTGCTTCTTGTGTCTGCAAAACCGCTCTAGCATTTGCTCACCATTTATGCATTGCACTAGAAAACTTATTATGCCAGCTTCATGTTGATAGGTAGTATGATAGATATGGGTGCATGTTAGATATGGGTTTATGTTAGTACTATATGGGGTGTATATGTGGCTAGGTATGGTAACTAGGTATGGGTGCAGTGGGTACGACCTCAGTCCATCATGGGCTGTGTCAGTTTTTCCTCCACTCACCCCATCTTTACCCCACCTCTGTGTCAACCTGCTGTGTCCAATACACTACACACAGTCTACAGAGCCACCTTCATACATATTATAGGTAGCGCTTTAGCTTGTTACGAGCCTGCTAATCAACATCTTCTGATCATCAGTACACATACGGTAATGATTTATTGTACTTGTGTGGGCGGCAATCAAGTAGAGACAGCGCTTTTGTATTTGTCGATTATATATATTACTGTAGTTACTCGTAACAAAATTTATTCCTTGGGGTGCCTCTTTATCATGAGAATTATCAATACATTATCATAGCCCGATGTGAGAAATATCGTTCCATGCCACAGACAATCAGGAAATGTTCGGTGGGTTACTGTTGGCTCGGAATACAAAACGTCAATAGTGCAGGTGAATAGCCATCAGGTGCTGTGATGGTGGCCTGTAATGGCTGTGGACGACGGCGCAAGTCCACGTTGCCCTACTTGAGGAATTGCCATCCAACATCTGGCTTTCATTACCAAATTTTTAACTATCGTCGAGACAAGTTAGCTCTTCAGACCCTACATTCACTGTTTACAAGCCTATATATGCATGATTGGCGAGTCAAGCTACCATCCTAGTTGTCTTAACACTTACCAGGCACCGAACATAATTATAAATGTGTCCAGAGACTCCATACGTAGGCCCATAAGAATTTATATGGGGGTTATAATACTAGGCGCTAATACTTTATACATCTGCTTCTTTAAAGAGATACCCCATGGCGTCCAAAAGGACACAGGCACTCCCCATACTGTACTTTATTATGCGCAAAGTTTTTCAAATTTCACATAAGCATTCACTTACCTTCTGATGTAGGTAAGTATGTACACAGATTGGTATTATATAGAGATCGATGATCAGACCATGTGCCTCTATAATTTGCCCTCTTTGAAATTATAGTGTAGACGGTAAATAATGTCTATATTGTGTCTCATGCATTAGGTTACGAACAACACAATTAGAGATCAGCAACAATGTTGATGAACCGTTTTGAAGTAGAAATTAGTGCCTTATTAGTGAGCTATCCTAGTGTTCCTGATACTACATTTACATTTGAAGTGTCTGATACCGAGGTGTCTCATTGAGTGAGGGTCCCGATTAGTGAGGTGTCCCGATCTCAGATGAAATCTCCTGAAAATGAGTTCAAAATGTAATGTACATAGGTAGGTAAGCACTTTACTCTATGGGGAAGGAACAGTGAGAGGTTGAGAGAGACTAGTTTATTTCCCTCATTTACTGGGTTCACATGTAGTGTTATTACACCTCAATCCTTCAATACTTCTTAAACCCACATACACACTACTTTACTGATCCCCCCATTTTGATCATACCGTGCTTTATTACGTAAGTAGCTACCCTATTACTGGAGTCCATACCTAATAACCCCCGTCCCGCCATTTAAACTGGTAGTATATCAAGACTATGTATGTGCATACGTAAGTGCTCTCTCTCTCCACAGTCTCCCTAGTCATGCATGGCCCGTAGACACAATCAATTGGTAGTATGTTTTTTGTAGAGCGAGCCAACCCGCATGCCCAATTTAGACGTTGCTTGTTATAGCTATGCCAGTCGGGAGATTTATTGCTGGTGATTGGAGTGGTGTTAGACCACCCCCCTGGCTGGATTTATTGGGTGCCGCTAGCATACCATTTTGGGTCTGAAGCGATGTACGCGTGCATTTAGAAAGCAGAGTTTTAGCCAGGTAGAAATTGAATGGTAATAGGTGTGTGGACTGCCACATGTTCTTGAACACATTATGTCTACCTACAAGCATGTGTCATGACATCAACATGGTCAAAGCAAGGCAAGCAACGGAAGTATATACACCCAGGACAACTATTGGTCCGAAGGAAAAAAAAGCTGCCCTGGGTGGGATTCGAACCCACGACACTCCGAAGGAAAAAAGAGCTGCCCTGGGTGGGATTCGAACCCACGACACTCCGCACTCTAGGCGAGCACTCTATCAACTAGGCTACCAGGGCAACTCAGCTGGTAGGGGTTCGAATCTACAAGTTTTCCACCATTTCAACAGACCAACAATACACATCTGCCTGTCCTGCAGAATTGATATCAGCTCTTTGAATTGTGGTGGTAGTACAGCCATACTACTTCGGTAGCTGAAGAGTACTCTGTGGATGGTGGGAACTTAGTTGCCTTTGCACTTAGTACACACCCTTTTCAGGTAGTAAATAGAATGCACTAGCAAAATGAAAGGACAGCCTATTTTATACATTAAGAATCGATGATGTAAGCAACTCAGTGATTTTTTGGTCTGGACACCTCACTAATCAGGACACTCTCCTCTGAGATCAGGACACCTCACTAATCAGGACACTTTCTTCTGAGATCAGGACACCTGTTTTTTTGTTTGGTTACAGCTTTAAATCGGCATGTTGCAATGTTGAAATATGGCAGGAAATAGCTGTACACTGAAATTGAATGTTTACAGCAGTTTACAAGGTTGCATACGGCGCTGGGTAAACAAAACCGGTTTGTGTCTGTTTTTGAACGGTTTCCATGACGTTCCCGCCGCAAGATACGCGAACCTCTCGAAAGGGGTGTTAATGTATTGGGACACGCGCATCTGTAAATCACACGAGAACTTCTGGTAGCTTTGCGACGGGAAAATACTGCACACACATGCATGTGTAAATAAATGCAACTCTGCTGCAGATATGTTCAACTTCGCGCTAACATGTGCGTGCAATATCGATAATTTTCATTCACAACATTCTCACTGATGCATTAATTACATGTCTAGACTGTATAATTATAGTGATCGTGAATCACACCCAGTTTTTTTTCTTTTAAAAAAGTGTTGTTTAATGGTGTATATAGCCATGTTTTTTCGCCTTGTTGTTTACATACACGTACATAGGTAAGTGTGTAACTATACCTGGATTGGATAAGTATTACGAGTAAAACGATCTTTTTATCTTAGTTATCGCTACTATTCTTCGTAGCATTAAACTTCATACAGTGTTTCAATTGGTGCTCTATCACCCAATAGAAGTCCAGTTGGCCTCCATTGGCGTAGAAACGGCTGTGGTTTTATAGATACATCCCCACCCTCAGAGCCACTATAATTCATTTATCCACATACGTATACTGTCCATTGCCTATAAACAGTGTCTTCGATATACGAGCGTATTATTCACGTTGAATAGGGTGCTATGGGTGTGTGGTTAGGACCTGTTGGTGTCTGGTTATACCAGCCTATTGTTGGGGGTTTAGGATCCCTAGAACGCTAGGTAGTAGGTGTGTATATATACCTTGTGGGTGACTGGAGGAGGAATAATTAGTGTCTGGTTATACCAGCCCATTGTTGGGGTTTAGGGTGGCTTGGGAGTGCCCAAAATGTGAATGCATAGAGTTATTGGAGGTACGTAAGTACGTACCTTGTGAGTTATTGGGGGAGAGGGAGGAATAGTCTGTGCCTGGTGCTAAGCATTGCTGTGGGCGTTGCGGGGAAGAAATGGCTGGTGTCTGGTGTAACCAGCCCATTGTGTGACGTGTGAGCTCCTTGCAAGCCCTTGACCAGTACATTACTAACAATGCATCTTTGGCGAGCAAAGCAACCAGTTCATATTTTTGTGCCAGTTCATATTTTTGCACCTGTTCTCGCTAAAATTATTCCACTTGTTTACGAAGATAGCCTTAAGTGAAACGTCGATGCCCTACATAAGTGTTATTTTGCCGCTCTCTCCTAACATATGTTTTCGCCCACCAAACACAAACTTTGGCCGACTTATAGTGAGGTGCTATACGTAAGATAATCCACTAAACTCTATTGGACTGATTGCCACTTACCGAAACAAGGTTATAACGGCACTTCACACAGTCGGATATGCCCACGTACATGAAATTATAGTTCATAGCATACCAGCCATAGGTATATACATTTGCAAAACAAAGCTATATTCCCGTAGACTTTTTAAATCTATACGTATCAAATCAATAAGCCTGTAATCTGTTAAAACCCTTTTCAAGTGTACAGTGGACACTACATAAGGCTTCTTATGCACACGACAACTTATTTAGTGGGACACTTGATGCACACTTTTTCACCACACACACAGCA